GATACAAAGTTATATGACGATTGGCAAGTTGTCCTCGATGGCTTTGACTTCGAGGTATCTGAACTTTAATACCTCAAAATTCCTTAACCGAATTATGGGGACACTATCAAATACAAAAAAAGGAAGTCAAAGCAGAAGACATAGTTTTCCTTCACAAGGAAATGTGATCCACTGTCTCATTCTCAAAGCAAAAGACGAGCAATCACCAGTAAATACAACCATAAACGTGTGGTGAAACACATCAGCCTTCCCTTATTTATAGAGGCTGAGAAAAAGGATGGAAACTGAACAACATGACTTCTCAACCATTGGATCGCTTTACATCTAATGGCCACCAACGAAAGATTGTTTGTTTCAAAGCTCTAACATCGTGACTCTTGAGAATCTAGGTTGTATGTCATCTCAACATGACTTGAGCTTGGGGGACAAGTAGATCATACTAAGAAGGTAAAGAATGTGATTTGCTATTTCTTAAATCATAGTAGATTTGATGATCCAATTACATTTCGTTTTGCTATTTCTTAAATTAAGGAGTTAATGAATATGAATGAAAATAAATCTAAGAAGCATAAGAGTAATATTATCTTTGATTTTTTGTTGTTGAAGTTTTTTAATATCCAAACTAGGAAGGATATGATGGTTTCATTTATGGACGTAATATGACAAGTTTTATCTACTAATTGACTTAAAGTGAATACTTATGGTGTAGTTAGGGATTGTCTTGGTTTGAATTCATGTTGTAGTATTTTTAGAGGAAGTCAGGTTGAATATATGGGTAGTTTCTTTTAGCTTTTATAGAGGTACATACTCTTATTTATGTTAAGTTTATTGTGACATTTATACTTAGCATGCTTGGAATAAGGACTTTTTTTGGATCTTTCATAGGCTTTGGTTAAAGTGATTTTTCTTTAGTTTGTCATGGTTTTTTTGGATCAACAAGTAGTTTATTAGAATCTTAGAGGGCGATAATGTCAGTGCATAGATTTTTTTATGCATATGTAGTTCAAAGTTTATCATGTTTTTGGAAAAGGAAAATCATTGTGCTGAAAAGTCAGTTAATTCACTAGTGTAGAAAATGGTTTTGACAACTGTGTTTTTCGACCTTTAACGTTCAAAAAAATACCAACGTCATATTGGTAAACATTAAATGACGTCAGAAGCAAAAAAAATATGATGTTAATTGACGTAGGAAATTACCATTTTGCCATTTTTCGACGTCAATAAACTCTTTTGTTTTTTTTTAATTAATAGTGATCTAATTTTACAACTCTACGAGACTTGAAAAACAGAAAAACAACAAATGTAGTTCAGTTTTTGACATTTTATACAACATTAACTATGAACTATTAACTATAAACAAAAGCACAAAAGTTATCACAATAGTAGCATTAACTTGTGATTTTTGATTTTGATAGCTATGATTATTATTTTTGGTTGGATTTTTTTTACGACTTCTTAGAACCTCTATTTCAGGAATAAAACACCACGAGCTATTACTTTAGGTTTCTGGGAAGTATAAAAATTATTTGAAAAGTCAATTGCGATAGATATTTAAACAACCATAATATTTGCTCTGTTTGGCCGATTTTGCATTATTATATATCGATTTGGGGTCGAAAAGGATATTTTCTATTTTTCATCAATTTTTTGTTTTTTTTTCAAACTTTGAAAAAATATTTCATCTACTTAGACTTTGAATTTTGATCTAAAATTTTTTGTAGGGGCTTCTCATGATATTTTGATGTTTTGAACAAATTTTCAAGTCATTTGGAATTATTTTAAATATACTTTCAATTTTACCCTAAGCTTGGATGTATATGTTGGGTACAAACAAAGTCTCACATCGGATAAAATAAGAGATGAACATGAGTTTATGTACACATAAGATACCTCCATTAGTAAGAGGCCTTTTGGAGTGGTACCAAAAGCAAATCCGTGAGGGCTTGGCCCAAAGCGGATAATATCTTATCAGTGTGGAGATCTATGTGTATATGTGTGTGTGTTAAACCTCCCTACAAATGGTATCAGAGCCAGGTTCAAGTCTGGTGATCGGGCTCATACGAGTACGTCCCTCCATGATAAAGTGAAAGTGAAGCCTGGAAGGTGGCCAGATGTATCATGAGAGGTGGAAAGTAAGAGATGCTCAGTGTTGTGACCATGGATTATGAAAGAGAAGGGATGACCATGGTGTACTCGAGGATAAGAAAAAGACTTTCGTTGTAGGGAAGGTGGAGGTGGAGAACCATAGTCCTTTGTTTGAGGGGAGGATGTTGGGTACAAACAAAGTCCCACATCGGATAAAGTAAGAGATGGACATGAGTTTATACACACATAAGATACCTCCATTGGTAAGAGACCTTTTGAAGTGGTACCAAAAGCAAATCTGTGAGGGCTTAGCCCAAAGCGGACAATATCTTATCAGTGTGGAGATCTATGCGTATATGTATGTGTGTGAAACCTCCCTACAATATAACGTATAGTATGAACAACAAACAAGTTCAACAATATCAATATCAACAAGTTCAACCTTCTTGAAAACAAAAACAAAAACTAACATTCTTGAAGGTGGGTCATCGGAATAAAGTGTTGTTGTTAGTGAGGGAGAAAGAAGAACACGCCTATGAAGGAGAACAAGAAAACAATCGGTTAAAATGAACAAAAATCATACATAAAGTAGTTAATCAACATATAATTGTATAAATTGAAAGAAAGGTTACATGTGTTGGTCGCTAAACTTTGTTCGAGAAAACTTTGAATAGATAAGAGGATCTCGCGTTAAGATAAAGTGAATGAAATTTCAACCTCCCGCCCAAATTTTTATTGAATTCACTAACATATAATGCCTAAAAAGTGATATTCCGATGTCTTATACCCTTTTGACGTTTGAAATTAGGGCAGTCAACATCGTACATGAGTACATTTTCACCTTCGTGCCAAGGACTTTCATGAAATTTACCCAATATGACGTTAGAATTCTCAATATGTGACATCTTATAACCAATTGACATCGGAAAAGTTTAAATTTCGACGTCTTAATTGATCTTCTATTTACAAAAATATCATCGATCATTTTTAATGTTGACTTTTTCGTTTTCTGACGTTGAACGCGAGACATTAAAGCCTTATTTTGCATTTATGATTTAGTTGTCATTCATTAACAACAATATAAATGATTTAATGTTTTACCTCAATATATTTTTTTATATTTTTTTTATAATAGTAGTTTGTCTATGTTTTTCATTCGGGGTTTGGTGTAAGTCTCATATGTTTATATTCTTTTATTTTATTTTATTTTAATAAATCTTCAAGTGATGACAAACTATTGATTAGCATTAGAGTGTGAGGTTAGGTGAGATGTCAAATTTTATAATATAGCCTAATATGCCCTTATTTAGAATGAGTTACAAATAAATTTTATTAGTGATTAAACCAAATTTTATAATTTATTAGATGCCTAAATTTGAAAAAATGATACTAGTTTTAAAACAAAAATCAAAGTCCAAATTATCTCGAGTTTTTTGTATTGTCCTTTGTTCAACATTAAAAATACACCGAAATCGATACTTTAAAAATCTTTTTAATATTAAAACAGGAAAACTCGGGCCTATATAATATGAAGACACAACATAATAACAACAGAGAAAAACTCAAGCAGATAGTCCAAATTCCAAAAAAATCACTCATATATTAAAAATGTAAAATTATTAATTTTTTTTACAAATTGTATTTTTTTTTACTCATATAATTCTATTACATTTATAGATATTTTTTAGATGTAATTGAGACCATGATAAAAATAAAAATAGAGAGTTGAGAGGTTGAAGGGTATCAACTAGTATAGGGTTCAAGACCTAGAAAAAGAAAATAATATTGCCCAACCAAAAGAAGTTGTAGAGGTCAATACAAAACTCATAATTGACATTCACATGTGCACATAACTCCGAACTTCACATGTTTAGAGTCTTCATGAAAAATTATGCTTGAATTGTTTTAATATACTTGAAAAGAAGTACACTGATAGGATAGAAGGGACAACAAGATTATCATAATTCATTATTAATTAAGCAATATTTTTAGGGCATTACCTAAAAGATTAAAATATTTGCTCTCAAAAATATTCTTAAAAAAGAGAAGAATATATTAACCAACCAAAAGAAGTTGTAGAGGTCAAGACAATGATTTTGATTAAAATGTGCACATAACTTCAAAGTTCACATGTTTGGTGTATTTATGAAATGTAATTGATTATGTATTCATTATAATCAATTTTGTTGAAGTCGTTGAAAGGCTTAACAACATCCAAATTGACCACGTGAAGAAACGAAATTTGTGTAAGAAATGCACGAGTTCTCTATTTAACTTTGTGTGGAACTACACAAGTCTATTCTTCTAATATTTTTAAAATTTATCTATTTCTATAATTAGTGCACCAAAATTGCCTAATATGAAAAAACCGGTTTCACAACTTTCCCAACAAAATACGACGCAAATCTAGCTTTCTCAACAAAATACGACGCAAATATATTATTTATATAAAGAAAAACATCATAAGAAAACTACATAGACTTCGCCAAATTAAAAATATTATAAAAAAATTTGCCAATTTCTTTTTCCAAGAAAATATGCATAAAAACTCTAAAAAATCTACAAATTTTCTTGCTTCTTTTAATCTGCAAAATAAATTAAATAATAAAACTATAGTAAAATTGACAATAATTTTGTGCCAAATATTTTTGTAAAAAAATTGACAACAATTTCTCGTAAATTAATATTCATAAAAAATTTTATAAGTATTTCCTGATTAAAAAATTTCTAAAAGTATTGGCATGAAATATTAGTTTATTTAGTAGTGATATGATATCTTAATTTCCTTTTTGAAAATTATGACACTTTAAATTAGCATAGAATTTTGATTAAATTAATATAATTATAAATTAAAATATAAATAAATAGTGTAAAATTGGTGTATAGAATTGTCACTCGTTTAAAAGATGAGAATAGAGTTGGTTTTGGCAGTGATAAAATAATAAATAGCCGCGGCCGACGGCAGTACAGAGTGGAAAGGGAGACTAGTTTGCATTTAGTGTGGATTTTTGTAAGACAAGATTGTGTAGCAGTGAGAAGCAGAGTAGCGCATATGAAGAAGCAAGCATCAACCCGTTTCCTGATGTATGTTATGATCAGTCTTCACATTTATCTGATCAATGCAGCTGTGTCATTGTCGGAGTCCAATGATTCCACTTCTGTGTGCAATGGCTCTGTAGAGGACTGCCTCAGCGTTCACCACTTGGACTCACAGCTTCCCACCGTCTCCAGCTCCCACTTCCGCAGAATTCTTGCTGAAGGCGATGGCCAGAGGACGGCGGGTACAGCAGATCCTAATAATCCCTTCTACAAGTGTACGCCTGGTGATAGGTACACATCATGTCTGACAGCAGCTGACGGTATTAGGATAAATTGTAATTACTACAACAAGGGATGCTAAGGTTGTGATTGAGTGGGTTAAACTATGTATGTTCGAATGCTTTTCTTTCCTCCCTTCACTGTTGTTGTTTTGCTGGGTCTTATTGTTTGACCATATGTTCTCGTTATATAAAACTAGAATAACTCCATCTCCTGAACTCAATAAATCTCGGGAAGATAGAGATTGTGAACAATTATATACGAAATGCTTAATTTTCTGCTTTCAATTGATTGAAAACTGTGACTATAAATCCTGCCTAAATGTAATAATGGATTATTTGATTCTAGGTTGTCCTGATCAAGCTCACGAGGAATGAATCTAAATCTCTTGTAGCCTTTGTCTTAGTGCAAAAAAAAACTTCTTCTACATCTCAATTGACGACATTTACCTGGTTGTAGTAAAAAACATGCTGGTGACAAAATTATAATTTCTGGCAACTTTTTAATAGTTTATTGGTGTATATATATTTATTTTAATATTCATATCTTAAAATTTATTATTAGTCAAATGTATTTTTTTATTGAACTTTGAGTATTGTGATTGATCTTCGGTATAGAACAAGTTCTTCCGTTAGACACTATCAAGTGAAGTTCAAGAGAAGAAGAGGTATTTTGTTTGTTTTGATTCAATGTTAGGAGATTATAACTTCCCGAACAATAATTTGTAGGGAGGGACATCTGCACATTTTCACATAGATCTCCATACTTATAAGATATTGTCCGTTTTGGACTAACTCCTTACGGATTTGCTTTTGGTATCACTCCAAGAGGCCTCTTACCAATGGAGATATCTTATGTGTATATAAACTCATATTTATCTCTTATTTTATCGGATGTGAGACTTTGTTTGTACCCAACAGCTTGTACTTTTTCAACACATTTAATACAATTCACTTTCACTTTTTACTCTAGTTACGTTTACACCGTTCGGTCACTAGTGTCTTTCTGTTATGTTGTTCAGTCATTTCGTGCTCACATTCACACCATTCGATTGCAGTCGCTCGGTCACGATCACTGCACGTTCAGACCCGCTCGGTTAAGGTAACTACTCGTTCAAAACACTCTTCTTTTCTTTTTCTAACATTCAATGTATCTCTTGTTCGTTGCAATCTTCATTTCCGAGCCATGATTCAGTTGATTAATCAGAATAAGAACAAGTACAGCACACAAAAAATCGTTTAGTTTTAGAGTATTTAAATTTATTTTATTTTATTCATTTAAAATATGCTCAAAAAAAATTTAAATTTAAATTTCTTATTAATTACTTTATTAAAACAAGTCATTTATTATTAAAAAATTAAATTATTCAAAGAAATTATTCACTCTTCTAAATTACATCATCCAACACGATATTATTACTGTTAATTGCATAATGGTGTAATTGTTTTTACCATTTCAACCTCACATTAATAAAATTCACATTTTCATTAAAATTCACATTTAATTAAAATATGAATTTTAAAAAATGGGAATCTAATAATTTCAAAGATATTTAATAAGATATCAAAATAATATGTATATAAAAATTAAATTTGATTTCAAGTTAAAAAATGACAAAATTACTCAACCTTTAAAAAATTAGAATTAAATTAAATAAAAATAATAAATATTAAAATTAAATTAAATATAAAACACTAATATATGACATTAAAGCACTCATATCACATTACTACTTTCATGTGTGATAACGCTGACTTGATACATAAACAATTTGGTTTTTAATTAAAATAAATTAAAATTATGAATTAACATATAATATACGTTGTTCATTTATTGTTAATTATTTAAATGTAGTTAAAGAAACTAAATTGAAAAAAATTAGTACCTGATTACATAAAAAAAATATTAAAACTGAATTTACAAAACTCAACCAAAATATAATATAAATTAGTATTTAAACTTTTATTTTAATAAGTTTTACTTTTACACAAGGGAAATACACAACAAACACTTACTTGGGAGAAGAATGCATACTTTTCTGTATTGTAAATGATGCCTCAATTCAACCTCTTTATAAGGTTTTTTTTACTTATGATTTTATCTTATTAGTATCTATTAAAAATTATTTAGCCTGAATTCTTACTTTATTTTGATTTTCCAACAACTAGTTGAATTCGGTCTAGAACCAAGAAAAAATATATTATGACACAAATATTTTGATAATATTATAGTATACGTGTCAATTTTCTATTGGTTCATTATTTATTATTATACTAATATATCAGGTTAAAATGTTGTCAAAAAATTTTCTTAACCTATCTATACAAGTAAACAAAAACCTAACATAAATGTGACTTGCTAAATGAAAAATAAAACTTTGAACCACATAAATTTTTTACATTGATTTCACACTACCTTTCTTATGTTTTACTTTTTTCTTTCTTGAAAAAATATAAAAGTTAGACTTTTATTATCATTTTACCCTTATACTATATGTAAAATAAATGTAAAAATGTATCATGATACAACTATTCCTTGCTAAATATAAGAGTAAGAGAAATAATATTTTGACACGAGATATTTTTTACATTCACTCAACATTACTTTTTTTACTTTTTATTTTTTTTATTTTTTTTTAAATATAATAATTTATTCTTTTATAATTATTTTCTTCTTATAATATATGTCAAAATGAATATAAACGTAGGTTATCTATCATTAATCTACATATACTAGATATACCATTAAGATATACTAGATATAGACTTGAAGTATGCGACTTAGAAAAGAGTAGACACAAAATGCCTGGCTACGATTATCTCAAACTATATATTCATAGGTTCATTAACGGGTGTTTGAGTCGAGCTCTCTTTGCTGCTTTGATTACAGATTATCGATGGACACAACTTGCACACGAACTGCTGTAAGAAGCATCCTCTTCCTCTTCTTTATGTGGTGCCTTTCTTTCCTTTCCACAGCAGACGATATCTATCATCCCACTGAGCTCTTCAGCATCAGCTGTGGCTCATCCACCGACTTCTCCACTCACGACACTCGGAATTGGACTTCAGACATCCACTTCCTCTCTCCAATCAACCTCTCAGTTTCTGCTCCTTCACTCACACAGTCTACCATACAGGGTCCCTACACCCATGCTCGTCTCTCTCACTCACCATTCACTTACTCATTCCCTCTCACACAAGGCCCCAAGTTCATTCGTCTCTTCTTCTACTCTACTTCATACCAAAACTTCCCTCGCTCCCTATCCTCTTTCTCAGTCAAAGCAGGCCCTTACACCCTCCTTCAAGATTTCAATGCATCCCTCAACGCCGATGCCGATGATGACCCTAGCCACCCTGACATCTTGTTCAGAGAGTATTGCATCAACTTCCAAGATGGTGACAAGCTAAACATAACCTTCCTTCCTAGCACCACATATTCCTACGCTTTCATCAACGGGATCGAGATTGTTTCGATGCCCCCTTATCTCTACTACACCGATCCTGACGATTCCATAGGGCAGCCGCAACTTGTTGGCACCATGACACCATTTGTCATTGAGAACAAATTTGCTCTCGAGACCCTGTACAGGTTAGTCGCTTCCGGAATTGAAATCCCTTCCTCAGGGGACACGGGTATGCTCAGAACGTGGGAACCTGACATCAAGTACATAACTACTCAAAGTAGAGTATCAGTTGATTATGGGAAAGATGAAAAGCTGACGTTCATTACAACCTATAACTACACGGCACCAGACCAAGTGTACAGAACCGTTCGGAATATGGGACTTAATGGCTCTATCAACATGGGTTTCAATCTCACATGGCAACTTCCCGTTGATTCTGGCTTCATCTACATGCTACGGTTACACTTTTGCCAGCTTGATCCGAGGGTCAGTAGCTCTGGTGACCTCATTTTCAACATCATGATAGCGGACCAGTTGGCTAGCAATAGGGCTGACGTTCTCATGTGGACTGATAATCGGAAGGGTGTCCCGGTGGTTAAAAACTACGTAGTTCCCATACAAGGAAATCTTGACAAAGCAAATCTATCAGTGAAACTGCATCCTAGCCCTACAAGCCGGATCAAAGACGCAGTTATCAACGCAATTGAAGTCTTCAAAATCAACGACTCAATATCTAGTCTCGCCGGACAAGACCCAAACCCTCCTCCACAAAAGCCCAAAGGTCCCCTTAGCTCAAACAAGAAAAGTAGCGTCGTCAAGAAAAGCCGAGAAGCCATAATAGGAGCAGTTGTAGGTGTCCTTTTGCTCTCTTCAATTGTTGTTTTCTTGCTCATCAAATGCAAAAAGAATACCGCAGTTGACAGTGGTTCCAGCAAAAAGGGCGGAACTTCCCGCGGGGTTGACTCCTCGTCACTACCAACCAACCTCTGCAGATACTTCTCCATTGCAGAAATCAGAGCCGCCACCGATAACTTCAACGAACAATTGGTGGTTGGCGTGGGAGGCTTCGGCAACGTGTACAAAGGCTACATAGATGAGGGTTCAGTGCCTGTTGCAATCAAAAGGCTCAAACCCGGTTCTCAGCAAGGTATGCAGGAGTTCATGAACGAAATCGAAATGCTCTCTCAACTTCGTCATCTCCATCTTGTTTCCCTCATCGGTTACTGTTACGAGAACACAGAGATGATACTCATTTATGATTTCATGGAACGCGGAACCCTCCGAGACCATCTCTACGGTTCTGATAATCAGTCCTTGTCGTGGAAGCAAAGGGTCCAGATTTGCATAGGTGCTGCAGGAGGGCTCCACTATCTGCATACCGGTGCAAAGCACGTCATCATTCACCGTGATGTGAAGAGTACCAATATTTTATTGGATGAAAAATGGATAGCCAAAGTTTCAGACTTCGGGTTATCCAGAATTGGGCCCACCAGTTCTTCAATGACCCATGTGAGCACCCAGGTGAAGGGCAGTGTTGGGTATTTAGACCCGGAGTATTATAAACGACAGCGTTTGTCGGAGAAATCTGACGTGTATTCTTTTGGGGTTGTGCTGTTGGAGGTATTGTGTGGGAGGCCGCCTTTGCTCCGTATGGCGGAGAGGCAACAGGTGTCTCTCGTTGATTGGGCAAAACATAGATATAAGGAGGGTTGTTTGGGTGAGATTGTGGATCCAGCACTGAAGGGTCAGATAACACCTCAGTGTTTGCAAAAATTTGGAGAGGTGGCGTTGACCTGTTTGCTGGAGGATGGTACTCAAAGGCCGTCCATGAACGTCATCGTTGGAATGCTGGAGCTTGTTCTGCAGCTTCAGGAGGATAGT